TCATAGAAGATCTACATGGCAATAAAATGGACTTAATATTCTACTAATTAAATCTATCTAAAATTTTACCCGTCACAACGTCCATATTTGAAAGAGGGCTTACAAACTTTATTAAGGAATTTCTTCTCATCCCTCTTATTATTCATAGCCATAAGCTTGACATCCTGATACTTATGAATATTTTCCATAGTCTTGCCATATACCGAATTGTTCATGAGCTTAAAGAAATTCTTTTTAAAGGTATTCTTAGCTTTCTGGCGTAACTTGGTATTTTTTGCAATATATGAAGCAAGCCAGTTAGTCTGGTTGAAAGACATAATTTCTGTAACTTTATCTACAATCATTACTAGCTTCACATAATACTAAAGTTCTTGGTAATGGATAACATAATCTTTTCGAGGACCTAGGTGAGATACTAATTTTTCCGTTGCTGAGAAACGTCTTCCATCCATTTTATTTACAAGTTTAGCATTATAGGTACATAGCATATCTTTTTTTACTGCAACATTTTTCACAGCTGGGGGTAGGTCATTTAAATAGTCATGAGTCTTTAGAGGAAAATGTGAGCAGATATTCAGATAAAATCCATGTGATGCATCTGCTTTAGTCTTGAGAATTATTTCAAGATATTTCTTTTGCATCTTAGGATTCTTGAGAAGATATTTCTAACTAGTGACCCATTTATAATTTCCAATAGGTAAGAACTGACTCATAACCCAGCTGTAAAGATTATTTGCATTGACATATGAGACCCAAGTCATAAGTTGGGATGGATCGAAAGCCTCTCCCATCTTCGGATTATTGGCTTTGAAATATCGATGTATTGCCATGGTAATACCACCATGCTTAGCTTTTTCAATGAAATCATGTATAGCCATTTCTGTGAATAGCTCGATTCTAACTTCAGTAAACTTAAGCATAGCATCCCAGGACAATGATGGAGCAGATACATAATGGCTGAGGTCAAGCTCATAATGTTCTAAAGATGTTTTTCAGAACTTAGTCCAGACATCAGTAAGGTTGAGTACGTCTGTCATAAGATATAGATCATGATACTTATTTAGATTTTTACATCCAAATTCTTTCCATACTTTTTGGGCATATTCATAATCCTCTTGTGAAATACCCCCTTAAGCTGACTATAGAATTCATGAAATGGAGAAAGTTCTGTCTCCAAGAATTTTTTATAAGAATCTATATAGTTATATGGGTATATTCCCTTACGACACACTAAGGCTATTTATTCGTCTGTATAGCCTTTACTCTTAAAATACTTACTAGTTACTGGATGATCATCTCCCAGATACTTTGTGAGATTGGCTAAGCTATCATTCATAAACTGTTGGCTATCAATATATTTAAGCTGACCTACCTTTATAAACTTATATCGCTCAAATGTTTCAGCAATAATACTAATTTGATGAGCATTGACAGACCGCTCAACTGATTCACAGACTAAATGAGAGTCATACTCCCGAAAGTTATGGAATACAACTGGAATTAGAGTCTTCCATGGTTCGATCTGAAGTTTGAGATTGCAGAACTTATGTGACGCCTCACGAAACTTACCTGAAATATGACAATGATCCCAAACCTTTTCATTTTTAGACTCAGCTAGATCAATTTCTTTGGCTACTTTAAGAATAGTTGTTTTTATGGATTTATACTCTTCCGAATTCTTAACAGTATTTTCTAGCTTTCTATTAAGCTGAACAAACTTATTTTCCAAGTATCTAACCTCTTCCCTATCTATATTGAATTTACCTTTACAGATCCAACAGCTATCTGCTTCTGCGAATTGTCTTTTATTTTCATCTGTAATAATTCGCTCTGCTTTAATAGCTAAGACCTTATTAATTTCTACCAACTCCTGATCAATCCTTTGAACAAATTCTTATGTAACATTTGGCCCGCGATATAGAAAAGACCCCCATGTCTCACCTGTATCAATTCAATTGACTGTATAGCAGAAACTGTTAGCATATTGCTCTGAAATTAGATGAGTTTTCCCTCCATTAATTAGTCCACGTTTCTTATTTCTAGCCTCAAAGTCACCTGAAATCACACATGAAGCATTAATCATTTTCTCATGATTCTTGAATTTCTCAAAGTCATTAACATCCTTTATGGGCATTATGACTCTTTGGGGAGCTTCGCCCAATTCGAAACACCACTCCTGATGATTGGTTAAGGATATTTTTGTCTGGAAGCTATGAAAGCATCGGTTGCAGAGATGCTTTTTAACTTTATGGGCATTATCTTTATAGACTAAACCATCATGATTTTTTATCCAGAGAAAGTGATTCTTTTGCCCATATTTTTCGTTCGCAGATTTGGTAATATCTGTAAGAGCTAAGAGGTAAATAATATGCTGTCTGTTATAGTTCTTACTAGCAACTATGGGTTTGGGCTGTGCTGTTTCCTTATTCCACTTCCAGACATTAATGAAGATATCTGGATTCATCTCCTCTATCTTATTAAATATTCGTGGACAGACTGAGGTGGGCATTGGGATACCATCAAGCTTGACAACATCTAAGTATTTTTGTAGACTTTTTGCCCAATATATGCATCTACCAAGATGGTCTGTAATTTCATCCTGATATGCGAAATAACATTCTAATGCCCCCAAAGACAATTGTCTGTTGGTTTGCCTGTAACCAGATCAATAATGTCTGAATTATCTGGATTGATAGTACACTTTTGATTAGTGAGCTTTTTTAGAGTGGGGTATATGATCCTCCATAAGCACGACGGAGAGTGTAAGACTCAATTAATACCATTTCAATTTGGAGAAGGATCTTATCTGACTCTTCTTTTAGGTATGATTCGATCATTTTATCGATTTTTTTACTAGAAAGAGTTATGTGCTCATCTATATATTTCTCAGAAAGGATTTCCCGCATTAAACCTCTATGATATAGATAATGATAATTAGTTTCATAGTTGGCAGGGTCTGAAATATCACCTATTCCTTTATATTTATATTTTACATATGTGGCATTTATGACCAATGCTAATTTTATTTGATCCTTTATGTGTAGCTCTTCTTGAAGAACACTTGTAATTGCTTTACGTGATAAAGCCATAAGCTGTGGCATATATGGGATATCAGCATATTCTTTCGAATTATCTTGCTTTTTATTAAAAGCATATGCAGGATTTTTACTTGAAAGAATGATTCCCTCCCATACAGTCATATCTTTTAGAGATTTGTGTTGTCTAGCAGGATCACGTTGCCTTTCTAAAAATATTATATCTCTTTCAGGAGGTGCAATTTCTATTTCCTCATCATTTTCTTTATAAATTGATCTAAAATGCTCGCCAGTTGCATATTCCTTTTCTAGTTCGTATTCTTACCTTTTGGCTAATAGACCAGGACCTGCTTCTCCCACTTGTTCTTCATTCAGTGTAGTAGAGGTTTGCATTTCCTCTTGAGCGTCTTATCGCTCAACCTCGTTAGGTTCTCCCTTTTGAGCGTCTTGTCGCTCAACTTCATTAGGTTCTCCTTCTTGAGCGTCTTGTCGCTCAATCTCGTTAGGTTCTCCCTCTCTATATGATTGGGATCTAGATGCAGGTGTTAGAGTAGATGATAGTTTACACTTAAACTTTCTTTTAAGATGTGCTTTTCGATCACGGGTCTTTTTAAAGTTATTCTTACTATATCGAGGATATGGGGATCATTTTTGCTATAAGTGTTTATTTTATGATGTTTGTATTAATAATACGAAAACTTTTTGTTTAAAATTAATTATCTCTAGTATATATATATATACCCTATATTTGTATTAATAGTACAAGAA